GAGTCAGGGTAATGGTGCGGCGTGCTCTGTCCCGGGTGATCTGCAAGCCAAGGTAGCTGCGCAGTTCACCCAGGTCTGTGCACGTGTGTCTCTTCTGCAGCTCGGACTTCACGTGGGCGAGTCCAGCAGTGTCAGCTGTGGCAAAGACCAAGTCGTCGACGTACACGAGGATGTAGAACGGCGGCAGAGAGGTGTCGGTGCGTAGAAACAGCGACGGGTCGGCAGTAGAAGGAGCAAACCCAAGAGCCGCAAGCGTAGTCCTCAGTGTGTCGTGCCACTCACGTGGCGCCTGGCGGAGACCGTAGACTGGACGCCGGAGACTCCACTGGGTACCAGGAGGGAAAGACCCAGTGAAGCCAAGTGGGCGGCGCAGCCAGATCTCCTCGTGCAGGCTGCCCTGCAAGAAAGCAGTGCCGAAGTCGAGAGAGTGCAGCTCGTAGTCACGGTGAGCAGCAACGTGTAGCAGCACCCGAAGAGTGGTCATCTTCGGGGTGGGGGAGAAGGTCTGAAAGTAGTCAACTCCCTGTCGCTGACTGAAGCCACGAGCCACGTAACGTGCCTTGAAGACAGGCGGAGAACCCGGCGGCCGCTTCACCCTGAAGATCCACATGCCACTGACGATGTTCGCCCCAGGAGGGGGGACAGCATCAACGTAGGTGCCTGTGGACTTCCAGGAAGCCATCTCTGCATCCATAGCTGCCTGCCACTGAGAGGAGTAGGGACCCTCTATCGCCTCCGCGTAAGAGCGCGGAGTCGGGATGTCAAGTGCATCCGGGTCTCCCTCAGGGGTAAGCAGTACGGACACGAGATGAGGTGAAGCAGCTGCCAGACACTGGAACTCCTCCTGCCTGTCCTCAAGGACGTCCGTGCCAAGGGCACACTCACCCCCGACTGACGGAGGACAGGCAGACCCAGACTCAGCGACAAGACTAGCAGCGTAGTCTAGGCGACAGCGAGCAGCAAAGTCGACGAGCTCAGTAACTAGGGCAGACGCAGCAGTAGACTCGAAGGAAGGGTCAGTGACGACAGTAGCAAGGAGACGCGTGACAGTAGGACTGGCAGCACGAAGAGAGTCCGACGCAGGGTCGGGAAGAGCAGGAAGAGAGGACTCAGGAGGAGAAGGCAAAGGGGCACGCAGAGGAGCAGTAGACGGACGCAGAGACATCCTGTGCGTGCCAGGGACAGGAGGAGGACGCTGACGCGAACCACGACCACTAGCGCGAGCAGCACGGACAGGCGACGCAGGGCGAGACGCAGGCTCACGACGCTCAGTAAGACCTCCAGTAGGACCAGTGTAGGGAGAAGGAGCAGGCAAAGGGGAGGTAGGCTGTAGCAGTGACCGCGACGGGACAGGCTGTGGACCCTCCAAGAGAGGAGGAGGACCAGGAGAGGGCGGAAGACCAAGAACCTGCTGCAGGAGTGGAACGAAGTACGGTCGAGGCCGCGTAGCTACGCCAGAAACAGCAGGGACAGCACCAGTACCCCCAGCAGGAGCACCCGCTCCAGCAGCACCTCCAGTAGCTCCAGAACCTCGAGCAACACCAGGAGCACCCCCAGCAGTACCGCCAGTGGTAGTCTCAGCGGCAACACCCTCAGCAGCACCAGCTCCAGTCGAACCCGCAGGCCCAGCAGCTCCAGTACTCCCAGTACGAGCACCTCCGGGACCCGCAACAGCAGCACCCTCAGTAGCCGACGAACCTCCAGCACCAGCAGCACGGCTCCAGCGCCGGGCAAACCACTCGCGCAGCTCCTGTGGAGAGAGTGGCTCCCGGCGAGACAAAGCACGCGTAGAAACTCGAGGCGGAGGACCTCCAGGCGCAGCACTCCCAGGTCCAGCACCCCCAGGCAAAGCACCCCCAGGCGTAGCACCCCCACACTCAGCACCCCCAGGCTCAGCACCCCCAGGCTCAGCACCCCCAGGCTCAGCACCCCCAGGCTCAGCACCCCCAGACTCAGCACCCCCAGACTCAGCACCCCCAGGCTCAGCACCCCCAGGCCCAGCACCCCCAGGCCCAGCACCCCCAGGCTCAGCACCCCCAGCAGCACCAGAGTCACCAGTGACCTCGACAGGCTCGACTGCGTCTACCTGGGACACACCTGAAGGGGCAGGACCCTGAGGGGGGAGGGGGTCTACCGGGGGGGGATCTGGTACAAGGAAGAGCGGGGGCGGGGGGGGGGACGGAGTGCGGTAGGGGAAGAGGCGGTAGTAGGGTACCGACTCGTCGAACGTGACGTCCTGAGAGGACAGAACACGGCGAGAGGTGGGGTGGTAGAACTGCCACCCAGGCGCGTCTGGGGGGAACCCCAGGAAGACGCAAGGAGCAGCACGAGGGGACAGTTTGTCCGCAGACAAGTCGCGGACAAACGCCCGAGATCCCCAGACCCGGAACGCCGACGCATCGCCCACCTTCCCGGTCCACAGCAAGGCTGGGGAGGTCTCCGGCCTGGAGACCCTGGGGTGAAGGTTGATCTGACGTGCCGCGTACCTCACCGCAAACGGCCACAGAAAATGGGGGGCAGCCGCATGCATCATAGACGTACGAGCGACGTCCATGACCATGCCAATGCGGCGCTCAGCAATCCCATTTTGCTGCGGAGAGTCCGGGAGCGTGAAGGTCTGACGGATGCCTCGTGCACGACAGTAGGCTCGCAGAAGGCCAGAGGAGAACTCTCCGCCTCTGTCCGAGTGCAGACGCAGAACAGGAAAGTCGGAGCCAAAGCTCTGCCTGAGCTGGAGACGAGCTGCGCGGATCCAGTCGATCAGCACCTCAGTGACATCACCCTTGCCGCGCAAGGGGAAGACTGCGGTGTAACGCGAGTAGTCGTCAACAACGAGCAGGAAGTAGCGCTCGTGACCCTGCCCACGGACGCGGGCTGGGCCCCACACGTCCATGTGGAGCGTCTGCAACGGGGCCTCTGTCGGAGGAAACTGGGAGGAGTGAGGGGCAGCACGCTGGCGCCCCTCGACACAGGGGACACAGGTAGGGCCAGGGCCCTGAGGAAGGGGAGGGAGGGACCGGGGGAGACCAGACACTAGAAGACGGGAGGCCATGCCTCTGAGCCGAAGCAGAGAGGGGTGACCAAGACGGTGGTGCCAGAGAAGAGTCTCGTGAGACAGGAGACGACAAGAACAGGGGGCAGACTCAGGACCAGACCTGGACGCAGCAGCAAACACCTGACCCGACGAAGCGACTCTACCAGACTCAGTAACGGGAGGAGACGCAGTGGTCAGTGTGTACAGGCTCGACCCCGGCTGACGGGTAAACGTAGCCAGGTGTCGGCCTGTGCGAGCCTCTGTACAGTGCGTCACCCGCTGACGCGCAGGAGTGAACTGGTGTACACCCGCATCCTGTAGGTCAGCACCACTCACCAGGTTCGTAGAGAACGAGGGGAGGTAGAGACCAGACAGGGTGCCAGAGGGAGCCGCCGGACACGGGAGGACTGTGGAGAAGCGAGTTAGGACAGGACCCCCAGAGGGGTCAGCCAGAGACACTGCAACCGGTCGACTCAGCGGTGTGAGTGTGGTGCGGTCCCTAAAGAAGGAGCGAGACGCCCCAGAGTCAAGGGTGAAGGTGAGGGAGGCCGAAGCCGACGTAGTACCTGAGAGCGCAGACTCACCAGTACCTGAGGACGCAGACACACGAGCACCTAGGGCAGCAGTGTCGCAAGCACCTAGGGCAGCAGCCTCACCAGGACCTAGAGCAGCAGTCTCAATACCCGGATCGGGCGGGAAACACCGGTAACAGTCACCCTCATCACTAATAGACACAGCATACATGGCAGAGAGAATAGCATCAAAGTCAAGATCATAGATGGCAACACCCGCCCTGGACAGGTCACCCCAACGAGGGATCTCTGAGGCCTCCGGGAACTGGTGACGCCACGCGTCCGTCAGGCGGCCAAAGCAGCGCTGAGTGGGGTGGGGACCCCCACACTGCTCACCCGCACGGTCGCCGGTGCGCAAAACGTAGGAGCACGGACCAAAACCCCCACCTCGCTGACGCGCAGTGTACCACTCACGAAGCTGCTGAGGGGACAAGGTGTCACGACCACGCTGCTGCTGCTGGCGCGAGCCACCACCGGAGCCACTCCTCTGCGAAGACCCGCGACCAGCACCACCTCCACCCCCGCCGCCTCCTCCGCCTCCGCCGCCTCCGCTACTGCCGCCGCCTCCACCTCCGCCTCCGCCGCCGCCACCTCCGCCACCCCCGCTCCCACTGCCACCGCCGCCGACACCTCCGACTCCTCCACCCCCACCTCCACTCCCACCGCCACCCCCACTCCCCCCACTGCCGCCACCTCCACCTCCACCGCCCCCGCTCGCTCCTCCAGTGCCCTTGCCCCCCTTGCCCTTGCCAGAGCGGCGTCTCCCACTAGGGGCAGACGCCACACCGACCGACTCAAGACCAAGGAGGTCGGCCGCAGCAGCAGAGGCAACAGAGGGCAGAAGGGGGGAGGGGGAACACCCCTCAAAGATGGGGGTGCGCGGGTCACCACGAGAGGCCCCTACAGCGACTATGCTCTTCTCGGCCGCTAGGAGGGACTTCTCGAGGAGGTCAACAGTGAGAGTGGTGGGACAGACAGAGAGAAAGTGGTCCCTGACTACGCGAAGGGAGTCAGGAAGGCGAGTGACTATGTAGTAAAGAGTGATGTACATGGGGGGGGGGTTCCTGGCGCAGAAGTCAGCAGGGAGTGCAGCGCGGTAGCGAGTGTCACTAGTGCGGAGGTGCGTAATGAGGTCAGCGACTGTGGGAAAGGCAGCAAGGTCAGGAAAGAGGTACGGTAGCATGAGACGGCTCAGTGCAGCAGTGGCAGGGGAGGAGTAGCGCGCAACTACAGCGTCGTACAAGGTCTGAGCACTCTTGTACTGACTAAAGTGTGCACGCTCGGAGGTAGGGAGGTGGCGACGCACAGCAAGACGTGCAGCAGCGTCGCGCGTGGCCCACTGGGAGCGAACAGTGGCGTCGGCGTCAGCAGCAGGGGCAGTGGAGGCGCCAGAGGTGAGGTCAAAGAGAGAGAGACCATCTGCCCTATCGCACTGTAAGAACAGCTGCAGGTCATCCACCCAGACCTCAAAGTCAATGGCCCGACCCTCAGCGTCAAAGACTAGAACACTAGGGGTAGCCATGACCCTAGACGACTGGCAGCGCAAACAGTAGGGTGAGGGCAGTGCAGTGAAAGGGCGCTGTGCTCACCAGACTGGACAGGTCGGGCGGCCCGGAAGGAGGGCGGCGCGGCGGCTCGGCGGCTCGGCTGCCGGGCGGCTCGGCGGCTCGGCGGCTCCGCTGCTGGGCGGCACGGTTGCTGGGCGGCTCGGCTGCTGGGCGGCTCGGCTGCTCTGCTGTCGGGCGGCTCGGTTGTGCTGCTGAGGGGCAGCACGGCTCGGGCTGCTCGGGCGGCTCGGGCGGCTCAGCTCCTCAGCGGCACAGGCGACGTGGGGACCGAGACGGCGGCGCGCGGCTGGGACGGGCGGCGCACGGGCTGCGTGGGGCCGGGACTGCGGTGCGCGGCCGGGACGGGCGGCTCACGGGCGGCGTGGGGCCGGGACGGGCGGCGCGCGGGCGTCGAGGGGCCGGGACGGGCGGCGCGCGGGCGTCGAGGGGCCGGGACGGGCGGCGCGCGGGCGTCTAGGGGTCGGGCCGGGTGGCGCGCGGGCGTCTAGGGGCCGGGACGGGCGGCGCGTGGGCGTCGAGGGGCCGGGACGGGCGGCGCGCGGGCGTCTAGGGGCCGGGACGGGCGGCGCGCGGGCGTCTAGGGGCCGGGACGGGCGGCTCACGGGCGGCGAGGGGCCGGGACGGGCGGCGCGAGGGCGTCGAGGGGCCGGGACGGGCGGCGCGCGGGCGTCGAGGGGCCGGGACGGGCGGCGCGCGGGCGTCGAGGGGCCGGGACGGGCGGCGCGCGGGCGTCTAGGGGCCGGGACGGGCGGCGCGCGGGCGTCTAGGGGCCGGGACGGGCGGCGCGCGGGCGTCTAGGGGCCGGGACGGGCGGCGCGCGGGCGTCTAGGGGCCGGGACGGGCGGCGCGCGGGCGTCTAGGGGCCGGGCCGGGTGGCGCACGGGCGTCTAGGGGGCCGGGACGGGCGGCGCGCGGGCGTCTAAGGGGCCGGGACGGGCGGCGTGCGGGCGTCTAAGGGCCGTGACGGGCGGCTAAAGGGGCCACTAGGGGCCAAGAGAGAGGGGAGCGCGACTCGGGTAGGGGCAGAGTGCGCTCCGGGCAGGAAAAAAAAACGGTGGGCCCTAGGAACAGTTCCCACGAGGGAACCTGCTCGATACCATGAGAAGAATGAAGAACGAGGATGGATGAACTATGAATGAGGTGAGTACATATAGAAAACCCTAATTGGGTTGTACCCCCTACGGTATACCCCACTATAGCCTACACAACAGCATAAGCTATATAATGTTCTGACAGAAGTGTTGTTTAAGGGGGTGGACGCGGTGATTACGCCGGAGATGCTCTGCGACATGCTGGTGATGGTGAAGCTGGAAAAGCGCGGCCGCTCGGCTTTCAAGGAAGGTAGCTGTTTCCACCGTGTGGTGAATCCTGTTACAGGGATGGACACTGACAAGGTCAAAGGGTTGGTCAAACAGCATGCGGGGGATAAGTACCGTTGGCGCCATATGATCGAAGACCCGATTTCTCACGATAAGCAGCTGCTGGTGCATTACCCGTCGCAGAACTGTGCTTACTGCTCGGGGTATCACATGACGAGGTATCATGATGAGTACGTGATGGACAGACAGAACAACATCAGCAACTGGAGCCTATCGCTGGGACGTGTTCATGGAATTAATGGTAATCGTGGGGGGGAGTTTTTTACTTATCTGTCCTTTTGTTGCTCGTCGTCTCCACGGGATTGTGTTGCTAACGTTGTGGGTGTGTCGACTACGCGCAGCCGCCTCAGTCAGACTCACAGATCTGACCAGGCTCATACTGAAAGACCCCGCCGTGGTGTTGATTTCGACCGGGGGGAATCGCGAGGAGTGGATCTGCGTCCAGGAGAACTGCGAGAAGGCGAATGGGGTGACCTTCGCACAGGCTGCGGAACATGTGGTCTCTCAGCGGCACAGCGATGGTCTGGTGTCAGGCTTGGCAACACGCAGCTCCAAAGCAGGGGTCAACCTGACCGCGGCGAAGAAGGAGTTCGGTGTGTGAAGGGGTGGCCTGGTTCCATGGAAGTGGAGATGCTTGCCTGCGGTGTAGGGGAGAAAGCACAACGAGGAGTTAGAAGTGTCAAACATTATCCATATGCTATTGCCGTGTAGGCTATAGTGGGTTAGCCTTTAGGGGGTACACAACTTTAGGGTTGCATACTTGCACTCCAATCTTTGATAGTTCAATCACTTCTCGTTTCTAACATGGTATTAAGAGCTTAGGTTCTAGACCTATGGGCCCACCGTTCCGCTAGAGGTGCCCTCGAGCGCCCCTTTTTTTTTTAGCGCCCTCGTGCGCCTTCTTCCCTAGTGCGCCCTCGTGCGCCCTCCTCTCACGCTGCCCGTGTGCAGCCCGCTAGCAGCCCGAGCGCGGCCCCGCCGCTTCAGCCCGCGAGTAGGAAATCCGCCGCCTAGGGCGGCCCGATTTTTCTTGCGAGCCCCAGCAGGCCGTCGCCCGTAGGCCCCTAGCCCGACGCGCGACCCCTAGGCCGACGCGCGACCCCTAGGCCGACGCGCGACCCCTAGGCCGACGGTCGACAGCCGCCCAGGAAGTCGCGGCCCCACCTGTAGGCCGCCGCGACGCCCCCCCTTTAGGCCGCCGCCCTCGCGCTAGTTCGGCCCACGCACAGCCACGGCCCGCCCGCTATAGCCGCCCACGCGCACGCCCCCCCCCTGGCTGCGCACCGCTGAGTAGCCCAGCCCGAGCCGAGCCGTGCCGCCCGACCCGAGCCGCGCCGCCCGAACCGAGCCGCGCCGCCCTGGCCGAGCCGCGCCACCCTACTGTGCCCCACCTACTCCTTTTCCTGTTCCTACTGTACTACTGCTACTACTGCTACTGTTCCTGCTGCTGCTACTGCCACTATGGCCACTCCCTCTGTTCTCACCTTTGACACTGAGGGCCGCCCGATTAAGTTTGAGGTCTGGTTAGATGACCTCCACCTGTTCCTTCAGATCACTGCCAAAGACGATGTCTCCCTGTATGACCACACGTCCGGCGCTGCTCCCGCACCTCCCACTACTGCTGACAGCACCGCTCGCTCCCAGTGGCAGACCCGTGATGCTCACGCTCGCCTAGCCGTTCGCAGCCACCTACCGTTAGATGAGCGCGAGCACTTCGGCCAGCATAAGACCGCTAAGGAGCTGTACGACGCAGTAGTCGCACGCTACTCCTCCCCTGCCACTGCTGCTATAGGCCGTCTCTCACTGCCCTATCTCTTCCCTGACCTGTCCGCGTTTGCCACTGTAGCTGACCTCATCACCCACCTCCGTACCAGTGACCTCCGCTACCGTGCCGCGCTCCCCCCCGATTTCCTCGCCAAGAACCCCCCCCCGATGTACCTCACACTGTACCACCTTGTCACCCGCCTCCTTGACTCCCTTCGCACTGTCAGGGACCAGTTTCTCGCCCCCTCCCCCACTGACCTCACTGTCGACCTCCTCGAGAAGGAACTCCTAGCAGCTGAGAAGAGCATTGTAGCTGTAGGTGCCTCTCGTGGTGACCCCCGCACCCCCTTCTTTGAGGGGTGCTCCCCCTCCCCCCTCCTCCCCTCCATTGCATCTGCTGCTGCTGTCGGCTACCTCGGAGCTGAGGGGGTCGGGGCCGCGTCTTCTCCTAGTGGGAGGCGCAAGGGCGGCAGGGGCAAGGGGGGCAGGGGTGGTGGAGGTGGAGGCGGGGGCGGCGGCGGTGGAGGGGGTGGGGGGGGCGGGGGTGGTGGCGGAGGTGGGAGTGGCGCGGGTGGTGGGGGGGTCAGTGGCGGCACAGGGGGTGGTGGCGGCGGCGGTGGTGGGGGTGGTGGGGGCGGTGGAGCGGGTGGCGGACGTGGTGGAGCGGTGCAGCGTGGGGGGTTCGGCGGTGGCCAGAGGCAGCAGCAGCAGACTCCCTCGCCCCAGCAACTCCGTGAGTGGTACTCTCAGCGTGGGGGGTCTGGGGGTGGAGGTACCTGCCCGTACGTCATCCGCACAGGTGACCGCACTGGCCAGACCTGTGGGAGGTTCCACACGGCGCAGCGCTGCTTCTTTCGTCTCGACGACGCCTGGCGTGAGCAGTTTCCTGACGCCACTGAGCTGCCCCGCTGGGCTGATCTGCTTAGGAAGAACACTGATATCTTTGCTCTTGACCTTGATTTTATCCTTGGTGCCATGTATGCATTGACTATTAGTGTTGAGGGTGACTGTTACTTGAGTGTACCGCCAGACCCGGGCATTGGGACCAGTGAGACAGCTCCTCCAGGTGCTAGTGCGTCTGCTGCCCTAGGTCCTGGTGAGGCTGCTGCTCTTGGTACGCGTGCGTCTCCTGCCCTCGGTCCTGGTGAGGCTGCTGCTCTTGGTGCTAGTGAGTCTGCTCCCTCAGGTGCTAGTGCGTCTGCGGTACTGCGTCTACTGAGGCACTGCACACCTTCACACTCGACTCGGGTGCTTCCCGCTGCTTCTTCCGTGACCGCACTGCCCTTGAGCAGCTAGCTCGGCCGGTTGCTGTCTCTCTCGCTGACCCCTCTGGGGGCCCGGTCATTGCGACCTCCTCCACTGTCCTCCCTTGTCCTGCGGTCCCGTCCGGCACCCTGTCGGGTCTTTACCTCCCCTCGTTCTCTACGAACTTGGTGGCGGGCTCTGCTCTTCAGGATGGGGGTGTTCACCAGTTCACCCCTGCCTATGAGCGTGTGACCCACTGTACGTGTGCTAGGACAGGTCGCCACCTAGCTACCTTAGCTCGGCAGCCGGGGTCGGACCTGTACACACTGACCACTGAGTCCCCTCAGGTAGCTGCGTCTGTGTCTGCGTCAGGTCAGCTTTCGGCCCCCTGCTCGTGTCGCTCCCTGTCGCACCAGACGGTTCTCTGGCACCACCGGCTTGGGCACCCGTCAGTGCAGCGCCTTCGTGGCATGCACTCCCGGTACCTTGTCTCTGGTCTTCCCAGGGTTCTCCCTCCCCTCCCGCCCTCGCCTGCTCCTCCCTGTCTTCCCTGCGTCGAGGGGCGGCAGCGCGCCGCTCCTCACTCCTCCTCGTTCCCTCCCACAGAGGCTCCTCTGCAGACTCTCCACCTGGACATGTGGGGCCCAGCCCGCGTCCGTGGACAGGGCCACGAGCGGTACTTCCTGCTGGTTGTCGACGACTACACGCGCTACACCACGGTCTTCCCCTTGCGCACCAAGGGTGAGGTCCCTGATGTTTTGATCCCTTGGATCCGCGCTGCTCGTCTCCAGCTCCGCGACCGGTTCCAGTCGGACTTTCCCGTCCTGCGTCTGCACTCTGACCGAGGTGGTGAGTTTTCCTCCGACCTCTTGGCAGCCTACTGTGCGGAGCATGGCATCCGCCAGACTTTCACGCTTCCGGCCTCTCCACAGCAGAATGGGGTTTCTGAGCGCCGCATTGGCTTGGTCATGGAGATCGCTCGTACCTCCTTGATCCATGCGGCTGCCCCCCATTTCCTGTGGCCGTTTGCAGTCCAGTACGCTGCGCATCAGCTCAACCTCTGGCCCCGTGTCTCCGCTCCAGAGACCTCGCCCACACTGCTGTGGACGGGGCAGGTTGGCGATGCGTCGCGTTTCCGGGTCTGGGGTGCTCGTGCCTTTGTCCGCGATACCACTGCGGACAAGCTCTCCGCCCGCGCTGTGCCTTGTGTCTTCCTTGGCTTTGTCCCCGACGCGCCTGGTTGGTTGTTTTACCACCCCACCTCGCGCCGTGTCTTCCCCTCTCAGGACGTCACCTTTGACGAGTCGGTACCCTTTTACCGTCTGTTCCCCTACCGCTCTGCTCCGCTCCCTCCTCCGCCTCTCTTCCTCACCCCAGGTGCCCCTTCGGTAGACCCCCTCCCTCCCCAGGGTCCTGCTCCCTCAGGTGTTTCCCAGGTAGACGCAGTCGAGCCTGTCGAGGTAGCTGTTGACTCTGGTCCTGAGAGGGGTACTGAGCCTAGGGGTACTGAGCCTGGGGGTGCTGAGACTGGGAGTGCTGAGCCTGGGGGTGCTGCGACTGGGGGTGCTGCGTCTTTGAGTGCTGCGACTCAGGGTACTGAGATTGGGGGTGCTGCGGCTGGGGGTGCTGAGCCTGGGGGTGCTGAGCCTAGGGGTGCGAGTACTGTGTTGCGGCCGGAGCCTCCCTCCCCTCGACGGCTATGTGAGTGGTACGCTCGGCGCTGCAGCCTCCGGAGTGGAGCTCCTCGTTTTGAGTTACCACCTGCTGGAGGCCCGGCTGCTGTTGGAGGTGCTACTGGAGCTGCTGGAGGTGCTACTGGTGCTGCTGGCGGTGCTGGAGCTACTGGAAGTGCTGCTGGTGCTGCTGGAGGTCCTGGTGCTGCTGGAGGTGCTACTGGTGCTGCTGGCGGTGCTGGAGCTACTGGAGGTGCTGCTGGTGCTGCTGGAGGTGCTACTGGTGCTGCTGGAGGTACTGGAGCTACTGGAGGTGCTGCTGGTGCTGCTGGAGGTACTGGTGCTGCTGGAGGTGCTGGAGCTACTGGAGGTGCTGCTGGTACTGCTGGGGGTACTGTAGCTGCTGGAGGTGCTACTGGTGCTGCGGGAGTTGGAGCTGCTGCTGGGGGTTCTGGTGCTGTCTCTGCTGGTTCTGGGGGCACGTCACGGCCGCGGCCGTACTTCGTTCCGCTCCTTCAGCAGGTTCTTGGTCGGTCGCCTCCTCCTTGTCCGGCCCCCCCCTTAGAGTGTCCTTCGCCTGTCCAGTTACAGCCCACCTCGCCACTTCCTGGTCCTTCTCCCTACACTGGTCCGACAGGAGGTCTTACGGAGCGCCGTGAGCCTGAGTCTCGTCCTGTGTCGCCTGAGTCTCGTTCTGCGTCACCTGTTTGTGCTGTTCGCCCTGGTCGTCGTGTCCCGCGTCAGCGTCCTCCTGCTGTCCCCGGCACTCACCAGATGCTGCTTCGTCTTTCCACTGCTCCACGGCGTGTCCCTCTGCCTTCTCCTCCTGCGTCCTCCCTCCCTGCCCTTGCTGACCCCGAGTCTGACTCTCTTCGTGCTGCTAGTCCTACTGTCACGCGTCTCCTGTCCACAGTTGTCACTGACCCTTCCTTTGAGTCAGCTGCTGCGTCTGCCTTAGTTACTGAGCTTGTCGACTTTGCTGCTCACTGTAGACTAGACTACGCTGCGAGTCTTGTTGCTGAGTCTGGGTCTGTCTGTCCTCCGTCCGTCGGGGGTGAGTGTGCCCTTGGCACGGACGTCCTTGAGGACAGGCAGGAGGAGTTTGAGTGCTTTGCCGCTGCTGTACCTCATCTCGTGTCCATGCTGATTGCACCTGAGGGAGACCCGGATGCTCCAGACATCCCGACCCCGCGCTCTTACGCTGAGGCGATCGCGGGTGAGTACTCCTCTCAGTGGCAGACAGCCATGGATGCAGAGATGGCATCCTGGAAGTCCACTGGCACTTATGTCGACGAGGTTCCCCCTCCTGGGGCGAACATCGTCAGTGGCATGTGGATTTTCAGGGTGAAGCGGCCGCCAGGTTCTCCGCCTGTCTTCAAGGCTCGGTACGTTGCTCGAGGCTTCAGTCAGCGAGAGGGAGTAGACTTCTTTCAGACCTTCTCCCCCACCCCGAAGATGACCACTCTTCGGGTGCTGCTGCACGTTGCCGCTCAGCGTGACTACGAGCTTCACTCTCTTGACTTCAGTACAGCTTTCTTGCAGGGCAGCCTGCACGAGGAGATCTGGCTGCGCCGCCCTCCTGGCTTCACTGGGTCGTTTCCTCCTGGTACCCAGTGGAGCCTCCGGCGGCCGGTCTACGGTCTCCGCCAGGCTCCACGTGAGTGGCACGACACACTGAGGACTACACTTGCGGCTCTTGGGTTCTCGTCTTCTACTGCCGACCCGTCGCTGTTTCTGCGCACCGACACTTCACTGCCGCCGTTCTACATCCTCGTGTACGTCGACGACTTGGTCTTTGCCACTGCTGACACTGAGGCTCTCGCCCACGTGAAGTCGGAGCTGCAGAGACACACGTGCACAGATCTGGGTGAGCTGACAAGCTATCTTGGCTTGCGGATCACCCGGGACAGAGCACGCCGCACCATCACCCTGACTCAGTCACACATGGTGCAGCAGGTCCTTCAGCGCTTCGGCTTCACCTGGTCCTCGGCACAGGCCACTCCTCTGGCTATAGGTCACTCGCTCTCAGCTCTGCCTTCGGATGAGTCCGTAGAGCCGAGTGGTCCATGCACATTCACATGCACATTCACATGCACACTCGCTTGCGCATGATCACAAGCATGCGCTCGCTTCACTTCCCCAGCATGGGGCGCAGCACTCGCAGGTGCATGCGCATGAGGAGCCTGGGGATTGCTGCCATTCCCAAGGCCATGGAGATAGCGTGTGCCACCATACCGACCAGCAGCAGCAGGGGCGGGAGAAGCAGAAGAGGAAGAGTCACGAGCATGATCAGGATGCGCATACGCATGATCACAGCCACAAGCACGGCAGCAGTAGTAGTCACGGCCATGCCCAGGGGCCACACGCCAGTTCCGCCCACCACCACGCGCACGAGTGGCAAGACGAGGTGGGCGTGCGGTGGAGAGGGGTGCAGGGCGGCACAGAGGACGACGCCTGTGCGGGTCTGCACCGTCACACGCACACCACGCACCACCACCACATAGTGCTCCCCTCCAGGGGCGGGCTCTCGTACCTGCTCACTGCGCTGCTCTCAATGCACTCGTTTGTCGTGGGCGCGGCACTGGGCACGTCGGGGACGCTGCAGGGGACGGTGGGGCTCATCATTGCGCTCATTGCTCACAAGTGGGCCGAGGCCTTTGCTGTTGGCGTGCAGGTTGGTTCCTGAGACGCCCCTGTTGCTTTTTATTCTTATTTTTCCCCTAGCAGCTGTCGTTGCTGTTAGCAAGCAGCTGCCTGACTTTTATTCTCCCTTAGAGCCATCAGATCTCACTCATTTAACCCCGTGCCACTGATCTCACAACTACAAGCAACCCTCATACAAGGAATATTCCTTTCCTTCCCCCTTTCCCCACTATCACCTCTGCCTTGCCCCTCCCCCCTCTCACCCCCACTCCCCATCCTCTCCCCCTCTGGCTCCAGTTTGTGAGGGAGAGTGTGCCGGTGCCCAAGATGGCGGCCATTCTGCTGCTATACTGCGCCATGACACCCACCGGCATCGTCGTAGGCATGCTTGCCAACTCCCTTGCTGGTCCCCGAGCCATGCTCGTTGCCGTTGTCACACAAGCGTTCGGTGCAGGTATGGGCAGGGATGGCTGTGTGGGTTGGGTGGCTGTATGGCTTGGCACTACTTAATTAAATTTCCACTTCTTTTAAAACAAAAAAAATGCTGCAGTCGTGCTACCATTTTCCGATTGTTGCCTGAGACTCCTCCCATTTTCTTTCCCTTACCTTCGTGCCCCTCCTTTTGCTGTCCTTTGCTGACACTCCTGGTGGGCTACAGGTACGGTTTTATACATTGCGATGCTGGAGCTTGTGGAGAAGCATTCAGGCGCCCAGGGGTCAAGCATACTGGATCTGTTGCTGCTGCTCGCAGGGGTGGGCATCATGGCAGCGGTCGCTGCCTTCGTATAAATTTGCCGAATCTAACACCAGGTTACATGTACATGTGGAAGTCTTATTGTGGATAGAGCCAATTTGTGTGAATGGATATAGAAGCTGATGTAAAACCGAGACAGCAAGTGTAGACACACCAGACCAGGAGCATCAAATATGTCGGTGAGAAATTCTTTCCTGGTGGAGCGGCTTGTACTGCGGACAATCACATTGCCGTGTCAGCTTCGGCGCTTCCCAGCGTGTCAACGCGCAATCCTTGCCGCGTGTGCGCATCTGCGACGAACCACCCCCTCAGCCGAACTCCACCTCAACACGGTCGAATAGAAGGGGGAAATTGTCCTCCCCCCGCTACTGGTCCCCGTAATTCCGTCGCCAACAACTTCATGACAACAGCTCCACCAACCCAACACTTTTTCGTGTACGAAGCTTCAAACTGGACGAGGCTTCGCGAAGATTCGTTTATTCGGTAACGCGTTTTCGACTCCGAAAGCGCATATTCGGTGGGGGTGCGGGGCAAGTCGGGCGCTGAAGCCCACCTCATGCATGGGCGCGGGATCTTGGATTTTGCCATGCAAGATAAATAGAGACTCGAGAAATTACAATTCTTTACCTAGGAACCAGTCAGAGCCACATTTAGCGGATTAGGGACGAGTAGCACAGCCAGCCACGCAGGTAGTGCCTAAGCGCTCTCCTGTCGCATTCCTTCCAGGCGACTCTTGAAGTCCCTGAAAGTCGCTTCAGCTGATTGACCAGCGACGTTGCGATTCTACCAGCTTCGCACGCATCCTGCGTTGTGCTCCCCCCCCGCGCGTACTTTTTTCCTTCCCCCTCCCCAAGCGGGGCTACCTCGTCCAGTCTAGCCAGATGCTGCGCGTGTCCGCTCCTCCCTCGCGCTCTCTCCTCGCCCCGGAGTCGCTAACTACAGCAGCGAAGCTCACCGTCGTCGCGTCGCGAACTCTCACCGCCTGGCAACCCCACAGCGCAGCAACAGCAGCAGCAGCAACCCAGGAGCTTTCCAGTCGTCGTCTGCACCGCAGCACCGGAGCTCCTTATTTTGCTCGTTCACCAGATCGATCGTCCGGTGCCGCAGCGACCGCGTCGCTTCGTCTATCTCTCACTGGTTCTGCCGCCACCTCCTCCCACGCTAGGTCTTCCTCCCTCTCCTCCTGTTCCTCCTACGCGCCTCGCTTCGCCTGTACTTTTGCGGCTGATTCTCGCGCTCGGTCCGCTCCCCGCTCCGCCGCTCCCCGCGCATCCGCCAGCGCCGGTACCGCGTCCGCCATGGCTACCAAGTCCGCAAGAGCCGCGGAAGCGCTGCAACGCGTTAAGGATGCCGGTCTATTCCGCGACCAGTGCCTTATCGGGGACAGCTGGGTTGGGCCTCGTGACGCCGGCCCTACTATGGACGTAGTTAATCCAGCCACGGGGGACCTTATAACGCGTATCCCGAATCACGGGTACGACGAGACGCGCCAGGCCATCGCCGCCGCGTCCGCGGCCTTTCCTGGTTGGTCGACGCGCACCGCGAAGGAGCGCGCCGCGGTGCTGCGCAGGTGGTACGAACTAATAATTGCGAATCGCGAGGAGCTCGCGCTGCTGATGACTCTGGAGCAGGGAAAGCCGTTGGCCGAGGCGCGCGGCGAGGTCGACTACTCCGCGGGATACGTGCAGCTATACGCGGAGGAAGCGACGCGGACCTACGGCGATATCATCCCCGCACCGCTAGCGGACAGGCGGATTCTGGTCCAGAAGCAGCCGGTGGGGGTAGTAGCAGTAATTACCCCGTGGAATTTCCCCCTCGCGATGATTGCGCGCAAGGTCGCGCCTGCTTTATCGGCGGGTTGCACGGTTGTCGCGAAGCCGTCGGAGCTCACCCCGCTCTCCGCGTTCGCGCTCGCGGAGCTGGCGTTGAAGGCGGGCGTGCCGCATGGGGTGATTAACATCGTTGTAGGCGACGCGCCGCCCATCGGACAGGCGATTATGGAGAGTTCCGAGGTGCGGAAGCTGAGCTTCACCGGGTCTACTGCCGTAGGGCGGCGCCTCATGGCGGGCGCCGCGGCGACGGTGAAGCGGGTGTCTTTAGAACTCGGGGGAAACGCGCCGTTTATAGTCTTCGACGACGCTGACGTGGCGGTCGCCGTGAAAGGGCTGCTCGCGGCGAAGTTCCGGAACGCGGGGCAGACGTGCGTGTGCGCGAATCGCGTGCTGGTCCAGGAGGGAATCTACGACGAATTCGTCTCCGCAGTCAAAACAGCCATGGAGCAGCAGTTAACTGTTGGATTTGGGCTCGAGGACGGGGTGACTCAAGGGCCGTTGATCAACCAAGCAGCAGTGGAGAAGGTGGAAAGCCATGTAGCCGACGCGGTGAGTAGAGGAGGCAAGGTGCTGCTAGGAGGCTCTAAAGCCCACCCGTCCTACCTCTCTGCCCCGGCCGGAGAGCTACCAGAGAAGCTCCCTGGATGCTTCTTCCAGCCAACGCTCGTGGTAGATGTTCCTTCGGACTGCCTGTGCTTCCAGGAGGAAACATTCGGGCCGCTGGCCGCTGTTCACAAATTCTCCTCTGAAGCCGAAGCGCTGCGCATTGCGAATGACTCGGAGTTTGGTTTAGCTGCGTATGTGTACTCGCGGGACATGGGGCGGTGCTTTAGGGTTGCGGAGGGGCTACAGGCGGGGATTGTGGGCGTGAATGAGAGCGCGATCAGCACGGAGGTGGCGCCGTTTGGAGGGGTGAAGCAGTCGGGCATGGGGCGCGAGGGGTCGCGGTATGGGCTGCAGGATTATATGGATTTGAAGTATGTGTGCCTGGGAAACCTCAAGTGAGAGGAAAGGTGGAATGTGGATCGAGGGTTCTTGAGGCGGCGTCGGCGATGGTGTGGGGTGTGGGGGGACCTTGATATTGGCTGCAGGACTACATGGGTTTGAAGTATGTGTGCCTGGGGAACCTGAAGTGAGATGGGAACTTGAACTGAGAGGTGGGGACCCTGGAAGGAGCAGGGGTGGGGAGGAGGGGTGAGGGGTGGTTGCGGATTGGAGCAGGCTTGGATTGGATGGCATGGATTGCACGGGTCCCAGTTGCAGGGTTCTGAAGTATGTGTGCCTGGAAATCGTGAAGCGAGAGGTGGGAGCTTGGAGAGGAGAGAGTGGGTGAGCTGAGGGGGATGTGTTGGGTGTGTGAGTGGGGCGGTCACTGGTTTCAGCGGTGTTAGGTGTGTGCGGCGCCGGGCTGTAGTGAACGTGTGGGCGTTGAGCTGGTGTGGTCGTGCAGGCAGATACGGTATGGGAGTTGTGTTCGCACCGTACCATTCCCTTGCTGCTGTGGAAATTGTGGTTGGCTCCCTGTTGGTACTTGCTTGTAGCTCCCTGACTTTTGTTCTCCATGGCTTGTGCTGTGAATCTTTTCATTGCTGTAGGTGTAGTTGCTGCTGGTGCCAGCACCTCCCGTGTTTCTCCACCTGTCAATGCATTCTAATCGACTTGTCAGGTGTTTCTCAGCATTCACTGCCTGTAGCAGGGGTGCACGTACACATCTAGGGGGCAACTATCCGGTGCCAGACGCAGGCTACCCCATAGCACTATCAAAGTCCTATCCAGGCACAATAACATTAGTAAAACATATGCTCTATGGTCACTAAAACAAGCACTGGAGAGAGCAGGCATGTCCAGGAAGTCACATTCAAACTCATTTATCTCAGCTACAGCTAGCCACTACCCTGCACACATCAGAACTGCATCAGCACAACCTTCCTCAGACTAGCTAGCACCCTGCACACGTAGTGATATATGCAAATCACCCACCTGTAATACGCCTAGCACGTACATCACATCTTTATTCACCATGTTCTGTAGCAAATCAGCGACTCAAACAAGCCAGTGAGGCAACTCTACCCACTGCAGCGCTGCTCCTTTGAAGCCCCCCTTTGAAGCCCTCACGTAATCCCTGACTGGCACTGCCCGGAGAGGGGTGTAATGCATGTATGGATGGACGCTCACTTCACTTGGTGCCCTCCCCCTCGGGTCGCACCACGAGCACGGGTACTGGTGCACTGTGCACGCAATAGCTGGACACGCTGCCCAGGAGTTGGCTGTCGCGGGGAGCAAGGAGGGGAAGAGCAGGCGAGTGGGAGGGCAGAGAGCGAGAGAGAGAGAGAGAGAGGATTCTGAGAAACGAGGTGGCAGTGGTGGTGAGTTGAAGCAAGGAGAGAATGAGATGCCGGTCATCTGCTCATTTCGACTGGTTCAAGGACCGAGGGGATTTTCGACTGCCGGACAAGATCAATTCAAAGTCAACAGGATTTCCACCCCTCGGTGTGCCTCCCTCTCCCGTACTCCTTTCCAGTCCACTCAGAAGAAGGAACAGGCGAAAGTATTCATTGTTTTTCTTCCATTCCTTTTTTTACTCACCGTGTGAGAAGGCCCAGGCCCCGCGAGCCCACCACTAGCAGGTCCGCGTTCAGCTCCCCCGCCTGGTCGCATATCACCGTGCGCGCATCGCCTATCTCCGCCCTTGTTTCCGCGGAAAACTGGTATGGGCGGAGGGAGAAGCGGCGCATGGGCGGGAGAGTCAGGAGAGGATTACAAGGGGAGTGGAGCGCGCTCCCCACATGAAATTCGCATGACGACTATTAGGATAGACTCGAATGGAAGCACGTGTACATGACTCACGAGAGGGCCGCGCACCTTATGGAATTCTCATGGTTGCTGGGAAATTTTGGGGCTCATCAAAGAGGAGCGGTGCGCACCTTATGGGCCTCGCAAATCTCCTGGCATTTCTGCAGCGTTCTGCGGCTGAGGTTGCTGATGTGCGTGCGAATGGACTCCACCGTTTCCGGGTCCAGGGAGACTGCGATGGATACAGCCAGGGAACGCAAAACACAGAACGGTGAACCAGGGAAGAGACGCAAAAGAAAGAGGTACTTGTGAAGTCAGATTATACGAGAGCGACAGGCTTTGCGGCTAAGCAGGTTTACCATCTTTACCTACCATGCCCTGCACGAGGTCAGGCCTTGACTGCACGTTAATCGCTTAATTCTATCATGGAATCCATTATAAGTTATATTAGGGTGCTCACCGTCCTTGGCGACCATGCCCTGCACGAGGTCGGGCTGCGACTGCGCGTGTAGGATGACGACGCGGTCGCCCGCCCGGAGGAGGTGCTCCGTCGCCCACCGCACCGCGTTGTAGCTGTCCTCTGATGAGTCTACTGCGAATAAAATGGTTCGCGCCATATTTTAGTAGCTTGCCGATGATAGGTCGGTTTCGTCTTTCAGCCTTGCGTTTCGTTTCGTTTCTAGAAACTGGAGTTTCTTTTCAGTTAAGGATGGCAGCAGAAGAATGGTTCGAACCTTTAAGACGGATATGTTAGAGGAAATCGTTTCCTGCGAGAGATAGAAGCGTTATAGCGGCGTCATGTAACAGCGTGAAGGAGAATGCGTTGGTGAAAAGCTTGAGAACGAAATACGATTCTTGACGTGCAAGAAAACCACGATATACACGAGCAGAGCCAGCGAAAGACAAGAGGGAGGAGAGCAAAATGAGCCCCCCATTTCTCAGTCCTCATGCGAGTGCAATGCTACGGCCACCATTTCTTGAAGCTGTGGCATGTCGCGTGTGCGATACAAAAGCCGTGTCGCGTGAATACACTCGGTCACTAACTTTGCGTATCCAGAGGCTTATTTCTGCTTTCGTATTAGCGAAGCTGCCCTATGTTCTGGGCAGAGCTGTATCGTTGCGCAATTGGCCAGGCCGGGCTACGTGGGTTTCTCTGCCTCTGACGTGTAACCTCACACATGGCGACTGCCGCCTTATCGTTCTTGCTGACTCAGCCCATGTCAAGGTCGATTCACGTGTCAAACTTAGCAGCATCGTTGTACAGTGCATGATTATTGTCATCTGCCTTATCGTTGCACTGGATCATTGTCATCCCGGTATTTTTAGAAATTCCATTAAGTTGTTCAACAATGTCAATGTGACACTACCTACTCACCACATACCGTACACTAGTTAGAAATGCAAATCCAAACCAATGCAATGCCAGTCATTGCATATACCATCGATCAATAGCATCCCTTAGGTACTCCTTTTTCCGACTTATCATAGACCAGGCGGGATAAATTGTGGTGCAATGTGCTAACGACCCCATTATGAAGGCACCAAATTGCTGCCTCTCACGGAGCACGGAATGAATGCGCGTAAGCACCCGCTTGGAGTAAATCTGAATCGTGGCCAATTCTTGTGGTGTACACCTTGACTTTGCTCTTGTGAGGTCCCTAGCTGTTGTAGGCTCCGAGTCGAACACTTTATCGAGGCAGCTGAAGATGTTTGTAGTGGAAGATTGGTTCTGCCCACGGTTGGCGATTTCAATGGCTGCATAGTCGGCCACCGAGTTAACGATAAAAAGTGGTCTGGAGATGTAGAAGAGATTGAATTGTGGGAAGAAGCAGCGCCAGGGGCCCCGGGGATTAGCTGAGGTGAAGGGTACATGAGACAGGGAGATGGGAAGAGTGAGAGAAGAGATGAAACGGAGTAGAGGAATAGGGAGCCAACACCTCAGAATTGCGTCGTTTGTTGAGTCGGTACTGTCTACAATGTTGATGCAGCATTCACAAACGTATCAAATCAGATGGTTCTGCCCATCGTCCAATAATCCTCTCTCTCACCGTTTTTACAGTCGGGATCCATTATAGAGTGATGCAGTTCCGTCATCCTCTTGGCTAGCGTACGGAAGTACATTTGCCCTGTGACATCAGAGCCATCTGACAGACAACCAAGGCAACCAGCATAGAACAGGACGAGCCGGTTAATGATGCCAGAATTCCCCGCCAACAAAACGCAGAAACAGAGCAGACAGCACTCTTGCCAACGCCCCAAACTCCAATCCCTCAAGACCACAAAAACCCCGCAAGACAAGCGCTCGGTGCAGTGCGAGCAAGAGCATAGGGGGCACTACCAGGCTACCAGGTCAAACCTCCCATCCCATAGGGCAGTGTCTAGCCGCATATGCCTGGCCTGCATATGCCTGGCGTGCATATGCCTGGCGTGCATATGCCTGGCGTGCATATGCCTGGCGTGCATATGCCTGGCGTGCATATATGCCTGGCGTGCATATGCCAGGCGTGCATATATGCCTTACCCAGGAAGAAGCCTCCATCCATGAGGCACTTGACGTTGGCCCAGGGCAGCTGATCCGCCACAATGTCGCATGTGTTGGACACTGCCTGGCCGCCCGCAGAGCACCCCGTGAACAGCACCCTCTTCGCCGTGCGCATTCCCCACCGCAGCTGCAGGTCTGGAAAGGGGGGTGGAGGGGGAGGGCAGGGGGCGGGAGGTACGGTTGGTGGAAGTTTGCAGAGGAAAGAGGGGAGGGAGGGGGAGAGGGAAGAGAGGGGCGCGGGAAAGGGGGGGGGGGAGAGAGGGGGATGTGGGGCAGATAGCACAGGCAGTAACTTGGCCTCCTTGGGATCACATCGTCTTCCCCGCAGGACACTTCTCCAGTCAACCCAGCTCGCTCCACTCCCAACCCACCCACCTACCCATACACCCATGCACCCACCTTCAAGGACAGCTTGAAGGATCTTAGCTCCGTCAAGTTGCATCTTGTTTTCGAGTCGACTCAAAACACTCCCAACCCATCCACCTACCCACCCATCCACCCATGCACCCACCTTCGAGGACAGCCTGGAGAATCTTCGCTCCGTCAAGGTGCATGGAGAAGGTGTTGTTAACGCGTACAGCCCCGGCGGTGCCCGAGAAGCCCCCTCCGTCGCAGTAGAAGACGTTGACGACGTGCCAGTTGTAATACGACGGGTTCTCCGTCGCGTTGCGGCTCAGAATCCCCGTGAACGTGCTTCCGTATTTCTCCAGCTGAATCGTGGATCAAAGGGGGATACGGGGATTATGAGACGTTTCAAAAGTCACCTCAGGATTCCCGTGAACGTGCTTCCGTAATTCTCCAGCTGAATCGCGATCGAGGGCAGAAAGACGGGGATGGCGGGAGAAAGGACGAGAGAAGATATTGGAAAATGGTGTACCAGGAGAAAGAGGCAGCGAGAACGACAATGAAAACAAGGAATCCCGGGCCTCATCGGGGCCTGGAATCATCATCGGGTCTCACCGAGGCTTGGAATCCCGGGTCGGTGGGGTGGCGCCAGAACTTGGACGATCCGAGCACGGTCTGCGTGCGCTCCGCGCACTGCGCCACGTTATGGCACCACCCGCCGCCCTGCAGGTATATTATAAAGCTCTTCCGCCCCGTGCTGTAGCCGCGCCGAATGTAGAACCCCGGCGGGCTGATGCGCGGAGAGAGGGGGAGCGAGAGAGCGAGGGAGAGAAGAGGGAGTGTGGGTTTGGAATGACAGTTTTGGAACGAACGAACGAGAAGAGATGACGAGGATCGAACGAGCTGCCATCATGAGTTGTTTCAAAAGGCATTGTTTCACTAAACTGACTAGTAGGAAATGGCACCTACCTTCCGTCCAGGCAACGCGCGCCGAACCGGTTCTGTCGCAGCAGCACCCGCACGATGTGCGCGGGCTTCCGCGGCATGCCTGGTGGAACCGCTCCCGCGGAGGGGAGCGCGGCCGACACAGCCGCAGAGAGGAGCAGCTCCACAAGAAAGCGGCTTGAAATGAACGCGGCGCGAGCCCTTTCTTGACGGTCGTCCATTGGAAGTGTCTAGAGAGGGGCACACTGAGGGTTGAACTCAGCAGCAGTTTTAGCACTACCGAGAGGCACCGATTCCTGATCACAATGAATCGATCAGAGCGTCGAGCGGTAGCGAGAGACCGAGCGTTGCGATTCGTCGTAAACTGCTGCCGCACCTCCGCAGCTCTGCAGTTTGTTGTATAAACCTGGTGGTTTATACCGGATTCACTGTTGAGAAATCTCGTACAAGGGCGGCGGCGGTCTCATGCTGCATTTGCTGGCGGTGGTCTAATCTAACGTGCGCAAGGAGCGGCAGCAAGAACCGCTCAACGCCTGATGCGGCGCGTTTCCTACTTCAAAGCTCGCCGCCCTGCTGTCGAAGTAGTTTTACCATAAACGGGAGCATCAACGTGTGAGCGAGCATTACTCTGGACGTAGTGCGTGTCCTACTCCTTGGCTAGCACGGAATAAAGAGGTGTAGTGAGTGTTTGTGCTAACGCTCGACCATCATGGCATGGCAGGATGGTACGGACTGTCCCACTGATCCAAGTTCTCTAAAATGCCGTGAAGCGCAGTTTCTGATGCTTAGGAATTGATCAGAAATGGGAGACATAAGGCGGAATGGAAGACAATTGGGGAAAAGCAGAGGTGACGAAAAAGGAAATGGGGCTCCCGCTGGGGGGCGAAGAGAGGGGCGATGCCGCGTCGCAATTCAAATGGGCGGAAATCCAAATGCCAACATTGTGCGAAGTGTTCCCCCACATCCAGACTTGCGACTCGGCTGTGTTGCACGTGCCAGGCCCACCACCCTTGACCGCGCAGCTCTCACCCACACACCGACAAAGCAAGCGCGAGATGCGGAGAGTATTTGAATAGCTGGTTACGCTGACATGGCATCATCGGCTCCACACGTCCCAGCTCGCTTTGAGGAATCGACGGGCAGGATGCTGCACGTACCATGCCTCTCGTTCCTTGTCTGCTGTATTGTATGGTTAATATTTCAGTAGAAACGGCTGTACAGACAGGCATCAACCTATCATTCTACATGTTAATTACGTAGCACCCAGACATAGCTCACTTACTACACCTTGTGCAATCACAATACCCTGACCTCTATCCTCATAGTTTAATGACACCACCGCTCACTCAAATGACCAGTTCTGTCTCCTTCAGACTCAGTACCTCCAGTTCTGTAGCTCTTGACCCTCCGGCCTCCGTGGCAAGTCGACTCATCACCATTCCTCGATCATCCACATCACCATCTTCCTCCAACCCTGCCTTTTGCATGCCTCCATCGCCAGTCTCGCCCTCGTTTTCTTCGTCCATCTTATGCACAACCATAAGCTCTCGCTCACTTTCCTCTTCCAACCCTGTCATATCAACCCCCATATCACCCAACAAATCCGTATCCGGCCCACCTTCTGGCAACAGCCAAAGAAACGCCATCGGTAGCAGGCGAAACAGATTCCGAAGCACCACGGCCAGCCAGAGCCGCTCATAACTATCCTTTCTCACGCCCAGCAGATGCAGCATGAGTGCTCCCTGCCATGCCGCACAATGCTCCCCAAACACCATGAGAGACATGCAGAAGGCGAAGAGAGTCGCCTCGATGCCAGGGGGGCAGAGGCGAGCAGCGAGAATGAGAATGGGCATGAGCTCTAGTCTTCGTACTGCATCTGAGATGGCTGTGTCGCCCAGGACAAAGAAATGGTCGGGGATGCCCAGTGTGATGTTGACGCGCGTGATTATAATGAGGTCCAGGAAGCCGGTGACAAAGAGGAGCAGCTGGGGGATGGGGAGGGGAGGCGGTGTCAAGGGATAGGGAAGAGGATGAGAGAATGAGAGGAAGAGAAAGATGAGTGTATTCAGCATGTGGAGGGATATGGAAACATGTCTAAGAGAGGAAAGGAGGAGGGCAGAAATGGCTGTGGAAAGCTGAAGACAAAGTGATAACTGCAATGTGGTTGGTTGGTTGGGGCAATGTGAACTTCAAATAGCTCATGCTTGGTTGGTTGGGTGGGTGGGTGGGTGGGTGGGTGGGTGGGTGGGTAAGTATTGGGTTGAAGAGTGCAGCTTTGCAGCATGGCACGAGGGTGAGAGACAGAAGAAGTTGGAGACAAGGGAGCGTTGGGATAAGAATGGGATGTAGCAGCGTTGGCACGGGATGGGGTTGGCTGGCCGTACCAGAGTGAAGAAGAGGAGCGTGCGGTAGGAGGCGGCTTTGAAGCAGCGGTGGTAGATGAAGACACCGATGAGCAGCCCCACGCGCCCCATGGCGAACACCACGCCCATGAAGTCCTTGCTGAACCGCGGACCCCCCTCCGCCTTGGTGTACCAGTAGATCAGCGCTGTTGGGATGTCCGGGGATATGCCTCCCTGCATGGGGGGGAAAGGGTGGGGGGGCGGGAGAGGGGAAGATGGTGAGACGATTTATGAGGCATCTAAAGCACGATGCACAATGAACTCAAATCTTACCTAACCCATCCCTCTTGCACTATCTGACGCGCTCTCACTCGCTAACGTTGACACACCCCTCCCTCAGGTGAACCTCCCTCAGGTGAACCTCCCTCAGGTGTACCTCCCTCAGCCACACCTCCTTCAGCCCCACCTCCCGCAGCCACACCTCCCCCACACGCGCCCATGTCTCACTCACATGCGACATGAAGAGGAATATGGCGGCCCGCCACATGACCCTGTTGCGCAGAGTCCGCACAAACAACCGCACAGACCGCTTCAAGCTCCCCCACCCAGACTCCCCAACCTTACGCGCCGCCGCCGGTGCTTCAGGCACCAGCAGCACCGTCACAAGCAGCGCAAACGGTGCCAGCGCGTAGAAAAAAAACGCCCCACGGGCCCCGAATGTGGAGACGATAGGGCCGCTGAGGGCGAACGCAAGGAGAGATGAGAGAGCGAGGATGCCCCAGGGTAGGGCCTGTAGGTCGCCGGCGTGTTGCGGCTTGGTGCGGATCTTTGCTGCTACTAGCCCGTCTACTAGCACGTCTGCAAAGGCAGTGGAGAGGGTGGTGCCTGCTAGGAGGAGGGACGCGAGGGTGGGGGGGAGCGAGGGGAGGAGAGCCACTAGGAGGCTGCAGAGGAGGCCGAGGAGGGCCGAGAGGAAGAGGTAGGGGCGCTGGCGGTAGCTGGTGTGGGGAGGGGAGGGGGGAGGAGAGAGAGGGGGGAGGGAGAGGCGGAAGGGGGGCAGAGAGGGAAAGGGGGTAGAGGGGAAGAATACATTTCTGTGAGTAGGGGTGCTGTTGGGTAGCTAGGGGAAAGAGAAGGGGAGAGAGAATGGGGAGAGGGAAAGGGAAAAGATAGGGGAGCTATCGGGTAGCTGGGTAAGGAACAGTGGGGGAGAGAAAAGGGGTGAGGCGAGAGGGGAGAAGCGAAGTGGAGACGGCTCAGCCATTCCCACTCCACACCTTACATCTCATGACCTCACACCTCGCTCCCCATGCCCCATGCCCCATGCCCCATGTCCCATGCCCCATGCCCCATGCCCCATGCCCCATGCCCCATGCCCCATGCCTCATGTCCCATGTCCCATGCCCGATGCCCCATGCCCCATGCCCCATGCCCCACTCATCTTTGGATGGGGAAGGAGTCAGAGATGAGTCCGTAGATGGGACGGAGATCCCAAGGCACCGCCACCACTGCCTAGTGCCATGCGGGAGCAACGGGCGGGAGGGAATGGTGGGGGGAAGAGGGAGAATTGACGGGGGAGGGAGGGGGGGAGGGGGAGAAGGTTTGAGGGGAGGCACAATCACCACATATTGACCGCCACCCACACCATGTAGGCCTGCGCGGAAGCGGGCTGCAGGCGCTGCACGTCCATCCAATAGTACTGCGATGCGAAGTGGTAGAGCGCGCCCGCGTACCCCTTGCTCACGCACGCATGGTAACACACACACTTCGTCACAGCACAGCACCAACTCAGCAACAGCAACGACACAGCGCCGCAGCACCCGCAGAGCCACAGACAGCAGCACCACACAGTCACAGAACACAAAAACACACACACACCGACACACACAGGACCATACACACGCCATCACCGCCACACCCACACCATGTAGGCCTGTGCGGAAGCGGGCTGCAGGCGCTGCACGTCCATCCAATAGTACTGCGATGCGAAGTGATAGAGCGCGCCCGCGTACCCCTCGCTCACGCCGTACACCACTCCCACTAGCGCCACGAACGGCAGCCCGAACGACGCTACCAGCCCGCGCAGCCACGCGTGGAGCGCGACGAGCGGGTGGAGCGGCGAGAAGAGGACGGAGAGGAGGGTGGGCGACGCGGGGTTCGGAGCGGTGCGGGGAGGTGACGACGGGCGAAGGGAGACGGGCGATGCGCCATGGTGGGAAGGGATTGGAGGGGACGTGGCGGGAGAGGTGGAAAGCGTGTGGGAAGGGTCCGTGCTACGAGCACGCGTTTCTGATAACAGCAGCATGTGAGCAAGGTCGTCTTGATCCGTCTCCTCGCCGCCCACTTCCGACTTCTCCTCTCTGTCTCCAGCCGTGTTCTCCCCCCATTCCTCTGTACCACCCTCATGTGTTTCCCGGCGAATTCCATTCTCCGAGTCCGTCTCTTCTCCTCTCCCAGTGTTTCCGCCTTCCCTCATCACAGCCGTCGCGGAAGCTCCTTCCGCCAGGCGGATCCCCCTCGCCACTCGCATTTCCCCTCCCATCTCCGCCGTCCGCCTTTCCCCTTCCGCCATTCCCACATCAGCCGCTCCCCCAGCCACGACCGGCGGCTCTACGCTTGGTCCCGTCCGCTCGATATTACCATCGAATTGCTCCGCTCTGGTCATTTCAAACGACTCTTTTTTGCTGACGATTGATCTTGCACTGTCTTTCCTTTTCCGCGCTAATGTCGAGGAAGCGCGCGACTAGACCGAGACGGGCTGACGCGGGAGAATGTCGCCAGACCCAGCGAATGTGCAGGAATGCAAGCAGAAACGCGAACTGGAGATTAAATGGAATTAACGCTGTTTTAATGAGATCCTCGCCATCAGTCCTGAGTATACAGAGTGTTCCTCCTTACGTCGCGGAATGATCATGGCATGTAATTAACATGGCCGCATTGCAAAGGCTTTCCACTATTTCTGAATATGGGAACTTGGAAAAGTATGCGTTCTGAGAGCCACGGGGTTGCTGCTGCTGATAAGTCGGTGAAGTTCTGTTCTGCATACTTATCTAATCCAGGTTGGGATTCTCAGCAGGTCAACTATACGGTATTAGGGCGTATCAGTTCAACCCTAGAGGTTGACTGCGATGATGTGTGTTCTAAAAGGGTTTGTATTCCTACCGCTTTGAACCGCAACAACCAGCCTGAACTCACTCATAAGCTGTAAACTCACTGTTCATGACACCCTTTGATGTTTCCGAAGCCGCTACACCCTCGCCAGTTGAAACGCCAGCGCATCCATCCACTCACCATCAATCACAATGCAGAATCTCCTGCCATGGACTCCGCCTGATGGCTTTAAACTGCTGTTTCGTGAAGGCCATGTGTCAGTTGGTAACATTGATTATATATTCGGAACCGCCTCGTTATTACGAAGCTACTGGTACACTTCTCGTGTCCAACTGACGGACATTGTACCTGGAGCGTTATGGGGTTCAGTTTCATTGTCAGTTGCTAACTTCAAGGCCTCACGGGAAACTCCATGGGGGTTCAGCGCGTTATTGTCTAGGTGCTCCACCTGTTCAGTCGATCGTCAACAAGGTTATCAGCGGGGATGTCTGATCTTAATATCATTGGCTGACTCTGAGCAACCGGATTACGGGAGCAAACTATTTTCAAGGCTGCCGTGCTCTAGGTGTTTCAAGTTTAAGCCTGCAAATAATCCTAACAATGGTGCAAGTAATGTGCTCAGACTTTGGCTGTTACCTCAGGGAGGCAACTGGTTTCTGCCGTGACATCATCGCACTATGTCCAGGATGACGACCAGGAACGGGGGAGTCCGTACCACTGATAATGCTGCTGGTGCTACCCTGGATAAGACTAAGGAGACCCCAGTGGTTGTGGACGCTTCCGTTTCCTCGGCTGTTAAGCGTACGGCTGACTTGTTCACGGAGGCCGATAAGGAAGCTTTTCAACCTGTTGGGTCGGCACATGAGGTCAGGGAGGCAGCCTGCGATTTGCTCAACGCAAGCAACGGAGGAAAGCTGCCGACAACGGATAATGGCGTCAAGCCTGTTGTTCCCAGCGGAAGTACCGGCACTAACCTGCATGCAGCGAAGGATGCGGCGTCAAATATCCCACCGCAGGGTGTGGATGACGAAGAGGACGATGGTTATCTCAGTGATGATCCAGAAGAACGCTACGATGCGCAGGCGAAGAGCGATGTCGCGCAGCGGGTTCGCTTCGCTATCGTCCTGTTGATCCCGATCGCCTTCAAGCCGGAGACCACGCGTGTGCAGGCGACTCTTCGCGCGCTCTTCAACGTGTGGAAGAAAGACCTGAACATGGAGATTCAGGCAACGACGAAGTTTCAGGAGTTGTCGGCGGTGTTCCTGAACAAGAAGCAGTACTGGAGGCTGCAGGTTACCTTTGATCGGGCTAGTGACGCCAACTTCGTGTGGAAGCATGGGATTGTGCACACCTGCGTTGACGGGAAGCGGATCAACCTGGACTGGCAGCACCCGGCGGATCCGGCTTACGTGAAGGCGCGTGCGGCTGATCCGCTGCTGGTTGAAGTGTTGTTTAAGGGGGTGGACGCGGTGATTACGCCGGAGATGCTCTGCGACATGCTGGTGATGGTGAAGCTGGAAAAGCGCGGCCGCTCGGCTTTCAAGGAAGGTAGCTGTTTCCACCGTGTGGTGAATCCTGTTACAGGGATGGACACTGACAAGGTCAAAGGGTTGGTCAAACAGCATGCGGGGGATAAGTACCGTTGGCGCCATATGATCGAAGACCCGATTTCTCACGATAAGCAGCTGCTGGTGCATTACCCGTCGCAGAACTGTGCTTACTGCTCGGGGTATCACATGACGAGGTATCATGATGAGTACGTGATGGACAGACAGAACAACATCAGCAACTGGAGCCTATCGCTGGGACGTGTTCATGGAATTAATGGTAATCGTGGGGGGGAGTTTTTTACTTATCTGTCCTTTTGTTGCTCGTCGTCTCCACGGGATTGTGTTGCTAACGTTGTGGGTGTGTCGACTACGCGCAGCCGCCTCAGTCAGACTCACAGATCTGACCAGGCTCATACTGAAAGACCCCGCCGTGGTGTTGATTTCGACCGGGGGGAATCGCGAGGAGTGGATCTGCGTCCAGGAGAACTGCGAGAAGGCGAATGGGGTGACCTTCGCACAGGCTGCGGAACATGTGGTCTCTCAGCGGCACAGCGATGGTCTGGTGTCAGGCTTGGCAACACGCAGCTCCAAAGCAGGGGTCAACCTGACCGCGGCGAAGAAGGAGTTCGGTGTGTGAAGGGGTGGCCTGGTTCCATGGAAGTGGAGATGCTTGCCTGCGGTGTAGGGGAGAAAGCACAACGAGGAGTTAGAAGTGTCAAACATTATCCATATGCTATTGCCGTGTAGGCTATAGTGGGTTAGCCTTTAGGGGGTACACAACTTTAGGGTTGCATACTTGTACTCCAATCATTGATAGTTCAATCACTTCTCGTTTCTAACATGGTATTAAGAGCTTAGGTTCTAGACCTATGGGCCCACCGTTCCGCTAGAGGTGCCCTCGAGCGCCCCTTTTTTTTTTAGCGCCCTCGTACGCCTTCTTCCCTAGTGCGCCCTCGTGCGCCCTCCTCTCACGCTGCCCGTGTGCAGCCCGCTAGCAGCCCGAGCGCGGCCCCGCCGCTTCAGCCCGCGAGTAGGAAATCCGCCGCCTAGGGCGGCCCGATTTTTCTTGCGAGCCCCAGCAGGCCGTCGCGCGTAGGCCCCTAGCCCGACGCGCGACCCCTAGGCCGACGCGCGACCCCTAGGCCGACGCGCGACCCCTAGGCCGACGGTCGACAGCCGCCCAGGAAGTCGCGGCCCCACCTGTAGGCCGCCGCGACGCCCCCCCTTTAGGCCGCCGCCCTCGCGCTAGTTCGGCCCACGCACAGCCACGGCCCGCCCGCTACAGCCGCCCACGCGCACGCCCCCCCCCTGGCTGCGCACCGCTGAGTAGCCCAGCCCGAGCCGAGCCGTGCCGCCCGACCCGAGCCGCGCCGCCCGAACCGAGCCGCGCCGCCCTGGCCGAGCCGCGCCACCCTACTGTGCCCCACCTACTCCTTTTCCTGTTCCTACTGTGCTACTGCTACTACTGCTACTGTTCCTGCTGCTGCTACTGCCACTATGGCCACTCCCTCTGTTCTTACCTTTGACACTGAGGGCCGCCCGATTAAGTTTGAGGTCTGGTTAGATGACCTCCACCTGTTCCTTCAGATCACTGCCAAAGACGATGTCTCCCTGTATGACCACACGTCCGGCGCTGCTCCCGCACCTCCCACTACTGCTGACAGCACTGCTCGCTCCCAGTGGCAGACCCGTGATGCTCACGCTCGCCTAGCCGTTCGCAGCCACCTACCGTTAGATGAGCGCGAGCACTTCGGCCAGCATAAGACCGCTAAGGAGCTGTACGACGCAGTAGTCGCACGCTACTCCTCCCCTGCCACTGCTGCTATAGGCCGTCTCTCACTGCCCTATCTCTTCCCTGACCTGTCCGCGTTTGCCACTGTAGCTGACCTCATCACCCACCTCCGTACCAGTGACCTCCGCTACCGTGCCGCGCTCCCCCCCGATTTCCTCGCCAAGAACCCCCCCCCCGATGTACCTCACACTGTACCACCTTGTCACCCGCCTCCCTGACTCCCTTCGCACTGTCAGGGACCAGTTTCTCGCCCCCTCCCCCACTGACCTCACTGTCGACCTCCTCGAGAAGGAACTCCTAGCAGCTGAGAAGAGCATTGTAGCTGTAGGTGCCTCTCGTGGTGACCCCCGCACCCCCTTCTTTGAGGGGTGCTCCCCCTCCCCCCTCCTCCCCTCCATTGCATCTGCTGCTGCTGTCGGCTACCTCGGAGCTGAGGGGGTCGGGGCCGCGTCTTCTCCTAGTGGGAGGCGCAAGGGCGGCAGGGGCAAGGGGGGCAGGGGTGGTGGAGGTGGAGGCGGGGGCGGCGGCGGTGGAGGGGGTGGGGGGGGCGGGGGTGGTGGCGGAGGTGGGAGTGGCGCGGGTGGTGGGGGGGTCAGTGGCGGCACAGGGGGTGGTGGCGGCGGCGGTGGTGGGGGTGGTGGGGGCGGTGGAGCGGGTGGCGGACGTGGTGGAGTGGTGCAGCGTGGGGGGTTCGGCGGTGGCCAGAGGCAGCAGCAGCAGACTCCCTCGCCCCAGCAACTCCGTGAGTGGTACTCTCAGCGTGGGGGGTCTGGGGGTGGAGGTACCTGCCCGTACGTCATCCGCACAGGTGACCGCACTGGCCAGACCTGTGGGAGGTTCCACACGGCGCAGCGCTGCTTCTTTCGTCTCGACGACGCCTGGCGTGAGCAGTTTCCTGACGCCACTGAGCTGCCCCGCTGGGCTGATCTGCTTAGGAAGAACACTGATATCTTTGCTCTTGACCTTGATTTTATCCTTGGTGCCATGTATGCATTGACTATTAGTGTTGAGGGTGACTGTTACTTGAGTGTACCGCCAGACCCGGGCATTGGGACCAGTGAGACAGCTCCTCCAGGTGCTAGTGCGTCTGCTGCCCTAGGTCCTGGTGAGGCTGCTGCTCTTGGTACGCGTGCGTCTCCTGCCCTCGGTCCTGGTGAGGCTGCTGCTCTTGGTGCTAGTGAGTCTGCTCCCTCAGGTGCTAGTGCGTCTGCGGTACTGCGTCTACTGAGGCACTGCACACCTTCACACTCGACTCGGGTGCTTCCCGCTGCTTCTTCCGTGACCGCACTGCCCTTGAGCAGCTAGCTCGGCCGGTTGCTGTCTCTCTCGCTGACCCCTCTGGGGGCCCGGTCATTGCGACCTCCTCCACTGTCCTCCCTTGTCCTGCGGTCCCGTCCGGCACCCTGTCGGGTCTTTACCTCCCCTCGTTCTCTACGAACTTGGTGGCGGGCTCTGCTCTTCAGGATGGGGGTGTTCACCAGTTCACCCCTGCCTATGAGCGTGTGACCCACTGTACGTGTGCTAGGACAGGTCGCCACCTAGCTACCTTAGCTCGGCAGCCGGGGTCGGACCTGTACACACTGACCACTGAGTCCCCTCAGGTAGCTGCGTCTGTGTCTGCGTCAGGTAAGCTTTCGGCCCCCTGCTCGTGTCGCTCCCTGTCGCACCAGACGGTTCTCTGGCACCACCGGCTTGGGCACCCGTCAGTGCAGCGCCTTCGTGGCATGCACTCCCGGTACCTTGTCTCTGGTCTTCCCAGGGTTCTCCCTCCCCTCCCGCCCTCGCCTGCTCCTCCCTGTCTTCCCTGCGTCGAGGGGCGGCAGCGCGCCGCTCCTCACTCCTCCTCGTTCCCTCCCACAGAGGCTCCTCTGCAGACTCTCCACCTGGACGTGTGGGGCCCAGCCCGCGTCCGTGGACAGGGCCACGAGCGGTACTTCCTGCTGGTTGTCGACGACTACACGCGCTACACCACGGTCTTCCCCTTGCGCACCAAGGGTGAGGTCCCTGATGTTTTGATCCCTTGGATCCGCGCTGCTCGTCTCCAGCTCCGCGACCGGTTCCAGTCGGACTTTCCCGTCCTGCGTCTGCACTCTGACCGAGGTGGTGAGTTTTCCTCCGACCTCTTGGCAGCCTACTGTGCGGAGCATGGCATCCGCCAGACTTTCACGCTTCCGGCCTCTCCACAGCAGAATGGGGTTTCTGAGCGCCGCATTGGCTTGGTCATGGAGATCGCTCGTACCTCCTTGATCCATGCGGCTGCCCCCCATTTCCTGTGGCCGTTTGCAGTCCAGTACGCTGCGCATCAGCTCAACCTCTGGCCCCGTGTCTCCGCTCCGGAGACCTCGCCCACACTGCTGTGGACGGGGCAGGTTGGCGATGCGTCGCGTTTCCGGGTCTGGGGTGCTCGTGCCTTTGTCCGCGATACCACTGCGGACAAGCTCTCCGCCCGCGCTGTGCCTTGTGTCTTCCTTGGCTTTGTCCCCGACGCGCCTGGTTGGTTGTTTTACCACCCCACCTCGCGCCGTGTCTTCCCCTCTCAGGACGTCACCTTTGACGAGTCGGTACCCTTTTACCGTCTGTTCCCCTACCGCTCTGCTCCGCTCCCTCCTCCGCCTCTCTTCCTCACCCCAGGTGCCCCTTCGGTAGACCCCCTCCCTCCCCAGGGTCCTGCTCCCTCAGGTGTTTCCCAGGTAGACGCAGTCGAGCCTGTCGAGGTAGCTGTTGACTCTGGTCCTGAGAGGGGTACTGAGCCTAGGGGTACTGAGCCTGGGGGTGCTGAGACTGGGAGTGCTGAGCCTGGGGGTGCTGCGACTGGGGGTGCTGCGCCTTTGAGTGCTGCGACTCAGGGTACTGAGATTGGGGGTGCTGCGGCTGGGGGTGCTGAGCCTGGGGGTGCTGAGCCTAGGGGTGCGAGTACTGTGTTGCGGCCGGAGCCTCCCTCCCCTCGACGGCTATGTGAGTGGTACGCTCGGCGCTGCAGCCTCCGGAGTGGAGCTCCTCGTTTTGAGTTACCACCTGCTGGAGGCCCGGCTGCTGTTGGAGGTGCTACTGGAGCTGCTGGAGGTGCTACTGGTGCTGCTGGCGGTGCTGGAGCTACTGGAAGTGCTGCTGGTGCTGCTGGAGGTCCTGGTGCTGCTGGAGGTGCTACTGGTGCTGCTGGCGGTGCTGGAGCTACTGGAGGTGCTGCTGGTGCTGCTGGAGGTGCTACTGGTGCTGCTGGAGGTACTGGAGCTACTGGAGGTGCTGCTGGTGTTGCTGGAGGTACTGGTGCTGCTGGAGGTGCTGGAGCTACTGGAGGTGCTGCTGGTACTGCTGGGGGTACTGTAGCTGCTGGAGGTGCTACTGGTGCTGCGGGAGTTGGAGCTGCTGCTGGGGGTTCTGGTGCTGTCTCTGCTGGTTCTGGGGGCACGTCACGGCCGCGGCCGTACTTCGTTCCGCTCCTTCAGCAGGTTCTTGGTCGGTCGCCTCCTCCTTGTCCGCCCCCCCCCTTAGAGTGTCCTTCGCCTGTCCAGTTACAGCCCACCTCGCCACTTCCTGGTCCTTCTCCCTACACTGGTCCGACAGGAGGTCTTACGGAGCGCCGTGAGCCTGAGTCTCGTCCTGTGTCGCCTGAGTCTCGTTCTGCGTCACCTGTTTGTGCTGTTCGCCCTGGTCGTCGTGTCCCGCGTCAGCGTCCTCCTGCTGTCCCCGGCACTCACCAGATGCTGCTTCGTCTTTCCACTGCTCCACGGCGTGTCCCTCTGCCTTCTCCTCCTGCGTCCTCCCTCCCTGCCCTTGCTGACCCCGAGTCTGACTCTCTTCGTGCTGCTAGTCCTACTGTCACGCGTCTCCTGTCCACAGTTGTC